TGTCTGTCAGCAGCCTAAGGTGCAGTTTCCCCCAAACCCCTGCACCTATCACTGTGAAAGTTGGCAAGCTTTGTGGGCTCCTCAGGGGCTAGCAAGCCTGCAGTTTGAGCTCTCTGTGGCTTTCCACACAGAAGTCACAGGAGGTTTTCTCTCAAGAATTTGGGGTGCTGTTTCTCCAAACCCTCTGAACCTATTTTGTTGAAAGGTGGCAGACTTTTTGGGCTCCTCAGGAGCTACTAATCCTGCAAGGTTCATCAAGATCAGACAAGAAATGCCAAAGTTATAGCCTGCTTTGACCTTCCCCATTATAGCCTATGGGGAAGTCGAAGCAGCTCCAATATACAACTGAGTTTCGACCTTGAGTTGAAGCGGACCCGCTTCGACTCAAAATGGATGGCAAATTGAAGTGGGACCCAGTTTAATATTCAACATGGCTGTTGAATCGAATATTACCTGCTCTGCACAGCCCTCGTGGCTTGTCCGGGAGCCAGGGGGCTGGCTCCCCACTGGTATGCACACTTATGGGGGAGGGCTCTTGGGGGGGCAAGTGCCCCCTAGATTTTTGCATGGGGTAGGGGTGGGCTGCCTGATGTGGGTTCAAGCTTTCCACTTTGCTGCCTTTCTCCCAGGTCCTCTGCATCCTAGTGGCTGGGACCTGGCACAGCAGGGCAGAGCAGGGCGGGGAAACTTGATACCACCACAATAAGCCCTGTGCTGTCCTAGTGAGGCACCCCCTCACCACCTGGTGGCAGCAGGGGTAGTGGTGTGGAGTTGGGTCCCTTGCTGCTGCCAGGTGGGCGGGGGGGGGGGACTTCACCAGGGTGGTGTGGGGCTCACAGCAGCAACATCAAGCTTCCCTGCCTGTCCCTGTTCTGGCCTGCAATACTGGGATTCACCTGCTGAGCTGTGGAGGCCTTGGAGGGAAGGGCAGCAGGGAGGGTAGTCTGAGGCTGCAGGTGGCAGCCCACATCTGCACCCCCAATGGGCTCTGCTCTGGCCATGCTGCCTGTGCAGGAAGGGGAGCTGGGATCCTCACTCCACTCTGTCACAGCAGTCGCTACCTTCTGTGGGTGGCAGCTGGGGTGGCAGGGGGCTGTGGGGCCAGGTCCCTGGCCCTGTAGCCCTGGCAGCTTGGGGCCCCCTCCAGCAGGGTTGGGGGTAAGGGGGGCTGTGGCTGGGGAGTGTGGGGCACCAGCAGCCAGAGGGCAGTGGATGGGGAGTGAAGGGCACAAGCAAGGGTGGGAGTGTTGTGGTTGGGGAGTGAGGGACACCAGGAGGGCTGGTGGGCTGTGGGTTAGGAGTGACAGGCAATGGCATGGGCAGGGCACTGGCATATCAGGGCTACTTAGCACCACAAAACAGTGTGTGGGGCACAGGGGACAGCTGCAGCTGGACCCATGTCCTGATGAGTGAAGGGGGAAGGGGGAGCTCTGATTTTCCATGATAAAAAACCCAAAGTGAAACACCAAAACTTATAGGTATTTAAAATTAATTTTATTATAGTGGTGGAGGAACTGGTAGGCTTCCAAATTGCTTTAAAATTGTAAACATATCCATACAACATTGTGTTCAACTGACACACACACACACGCACACACACACACACACACACACGAGTAGTGTTTCATTTTAATCATGGAAAAACATAGATTTTGGGGTTTTTTCATCAGAGAATTTGATTTGTGGTGTTTTAATCAGAGAATTTGTGATTTTTTAAACAGAAAAACCCAGGATCCCTGGATATCAGGCATGAAATGGTGATTATCTATTTAACAACTATTCATTTAAGCGAACACAGAATGCTGTAATTTGAGTGGCAGCTCTTATCCGTAAAGCATTATTCTCTCACTTAAGCCTTGATTTGATACATCATGTGCCATTAGATTCTCCTACATTACTGTTAATTTCCTTTCCACAAAGTAATAATGCCACACATTAAAGTTAAACCTCAAAAACATTAAAGAGAAGGCATTTTAACCTGCATTAGCAGTGTATTTAGCTAGCCATAAAGCTTTTCTTCCCCTTTTGAAATAAATACCCAAACACTTTAACAGGCTAGGGCACAATAGCTATGCTAAAATAAATAGATTTTTATAATGAACTACATTTTGCTGTTTTTGATTGAATGCCAGACTTGATACCATTATACTGTTTGATACCATTATACTGTAAAGTGAGTCTCGTGCTCTGGAAAGAAGAGAAATCTTAAGTACACATCCATCTTCTGACACACCACAGGAACCTCTCTGTTCTTTTAAAGACTTTCTTTGGCTAGTAGCCAAAAACCACTTCTAAAAATAGTTTAAAGACTTTTAAGTTTTGATACAAAGTCCATTGCAGTCAGTGAAGAGTCCCAATGGCTTCAGTGGGTTTTGAATCAGATTGTTGAAACAAGCTAAGGCTGGCATCTTGTTAACTTCAGCAGTATTATTAATGTAGGGTAAGAGTAATCATGATTAACACCACTGGACAAACTCTGAAATCCTCAGTTAATTAATACTTATGCATAGCACCCACCAAAGTCCATGGGTAAAGATGGAAGGATGTGATCTTGACTACTTAACATCTCAAACAAAATGTCTCGATGTTTAATATCTCATTGCCTGCTGAGACTTACATTTTAGGAATGGTAAAGGCAGATATTAGGGTAACATGTTTTGGTCTTAAATTGATACTTCAGAGAAGTGTAGTATATGGGATTATGACATTCATTGCTATATAACAAGGTTTTTATACTACATCCAAAAGTAGTTTCTGAAATATCTTGCAAAGAGTTCATAACAATAACATCAAAAGCCACTAGTCTAATTTCCCCTCATTTCACCCAAAACAATTTCCCCTTTTTTATTCTTTCTTCTTCCCCTGTTCTCTTCCTGGACTGAAACACTGAAGCCAACTGAGGCTTTCAGTGAACTTCAGTGAGTTTGAGCCAGACCTCAACTATTTAATTCCCTCTTTCTTCTTTTGCTTCCTTTCTTCTACCTTTCCCACTTCTGATTTTAATTGTGAATACAGGAAAGATAAATGCAAGATGTGGATTTTATCCTGTGGACCAGGAGTCATGAGATCAGTAAGCATCTTAATGTCTTCTGAGATGTCCTTAATTTCTGAGCTAGTCCTGTCTCTGGCATTTATGATCTTTACCCTCTTAGCTTGCTAGTTTAATGGTTCTGTTTGAATCATGGTTATCTGTTGAAGTAACTGCGGGGGGGGGGGGGGGGGGGCATTTTTTGGGGGAG